AGCCCAATTGTGGATGCTGACCCGCCGCGACCGTTGCCTCCAGATCGCCGTCTGTAGAGCGAAGTCTCAAAAAAGCTCCGCCCAGCTAGAGAACATTCAACATTGAAGTTCGTCTAGGACTTCGCCAGGTGAGGCGTTCGTCAAAGATCAAATTCAATTGGATGCTGGCAGCGGAATGAGACCGTTAAAGCAAAGTAAGTGGGGTTCGCTGCAAAATGGGCGTGCTGGGGAACGCGTCAAACCCGAAAACTGTCCGCGTTTGGTTCAACATGTGCTAAAGAGCTATTCTGTCGCCATGTACTTTCCGCTCGGGGGAACGTGACAGCAATGAAGTCAATTCGTGCCCAACCGGGGCGGAGATCGACCTCGGCTTGAACTCCAAGACCGGATGTTATAGTACTGTGGATCGACATTCAGGCTATCACTTCCCGTTCCAGGTCTCGGGTAGAGAGCGCAATGCCCATGTCACCATCGTGGGTGCCTCTCAGTCAGCCCGACCCTGATGGCTAAACCTCCGAACCAGTTCATCTCCCTTTGACCATCAACTCGGTCATGCGACAACCTGTTCTCGACCAGCGCTTCCAAGACTCTTTTGCCGTCATGGTGCATTGAGCTGTTCGCTACACCTCCATCCCCACTCGCGGTAGAGCAGGCTACCACTACCTACTCGGTGGCAATCTCGGAGTACATGTGGCTACCGCTTACTGCTTGCGCCATCACACCTTTGTTCGTGCTTGCGGAGTCCCGATAGTACATCTATCGCTGCCCAATACCGCCTGAAGACACCCCGAACCTTGCTGAAACGACGTTCTTTACCCACTTCCTGTGATCCTGTCAAAAGCCCGCAGGAAATTTCCCTGGAAGAGGCTTCCCATGCCACAAAGTGCCGGCGCATCCGACGGTGACTATGTGTCTTGTCTCTGTCAGTATCCTCAGTGGCTACGGACCACAGGAGCTGGGGAAAGGAGAGGTGCCCGACCAATATGCCGCGGGTGATCTTCGCCTGCCTAGGAAGCCTAACTAACCGGTGTAATCAGAGGCCAAGGGAGACGCAACGCTCTAGACGAAGCTCTATGCCTAGACAATTCGCGAGGTCACGGAACATAAGACACTGCCTCCTCTCTGCGCTATCGGCGCTGCTGCGATATGAGGTCATTGACTTCCTTCAGTGGCTCTCGACGCCGGTGACCTGCCGAGTGTTCAACATGGCTTGCCTTGAAACAAGATGAGGCGGGATGAGGCGAGTTGAGAACTGGATGCTGGCCTGGGGTTGCCCCATCGCCTCTCTGCGAGGGTCTAACCCGCCTGCGGGTTGAGACGGGCAGCCGCCAATGTGAGTTTCGTCACCGCAGTCTACGTTGATCACATGAAGCATCCGCAAAGGCAGATTTCAGATTCGCCGTATCTACCGCTCCAGCTTGCAATCCGTAGCGTGGATCAAACCTTTTCCATTTTGATTACCTTTCAGACATATCTAGCTTCTTCGACGAATTGAGAGAACATTATAGATTTCTCTAAATAAGTGGATGCATTCGACATTGAAGAGCAGATTACGGTAAGGGCATGATAAAGAATCATTTGTGATATGTTTAGATGATCCACCTTGCTCTGCCGACTGTCGAAACTCTATTTCACCTAACATACTATGGTTGAGCTAGAGTATTCTTCAAGTCCTATTGAACCTTTTCGACACATCGGCTTCCTTAGCAATACCTTGCGCAGAGACTCTGTAAATTGAGCCATCATTTATTACTTTAAAGTTGACCAAATACCGGAATAAGTTCACGGAATCCCAAGTTATAAAAAGAAGGTTCGTTTATTTGCAACTAGAATCTGAATCTTGGCGGACGATGATAACAATTTTCGTGTATCAATTACAGAAGCGCAGCCATTCCCAAGAAAAGACTACCCATCATTCCCACGGCAGGCACGGTATAACCGTCGGCAGCACCGTTACCGGCTGCGCTGGTCGCAGAAGCAGAAGCACTGGATGCAGATGCGGACGCACTGCTCGCCACCGACGAGGCACCACTGGTCGCAGCTGATGAAGCAGAGGATGCGACGTCGCTAACGGTGCTGGAGGCTGAGGTCAAAAAGGAGGATGCTGCTGAAGTCGCACTGTTGACAATGCTGCTTTGGGCAGAGCTCGCGCTGGCCAAGACACTGTTGATCTCGCTCGAGATGCTGCTCTGAGCAGAGGGGCTGGCGGTGGCTGCCACTGATGAGAGACTGGCAATTCTGGAAGATGCGTCCGAAGAGATGGAAGAAGCCTCGGATTGGGCGGCAGAGACGAGCGACTGGGCGCCTGAAGGGATAGCGCTCGCAAGGGACGACGCAATTGAGGCCGCGGAAGTGACGCCCGAGCCAGCGGCAGACGTTACTGCGCTGGCGATGGAGGTGGCGACCGATACGAGTGAGCTGATATCAGAGCTAACGTCGCCTTGAGCAGCAGCACTGGCGGCAAAGGCCAGGATCAACGGCTTCGAGAAATGCATGTTGACAGGGTCTTTGATGAAGGAGAGGATGTTGATGAGATTTCGGTGGCCTTGGCTGGATAAAAGGAGACGAGGACGTTGAGGTGGAGGTTAATCGACTGTCTGAGTACGAAGAAAGTCAAGCTGATGTGAAAGCCCAACATTCCAAGGTCAATGATATATACCTGAAAGTCAGTTGCGCCTCAAGATGACGTCCTCTCTATAGCAACTGGAGGTGGAGCAGTGCTATGTCACTGATGAGCCACCATTATCACGTTTGCGTATAGTATCGACAAGGTAGTGACACTTGGGGGCCGCCGGAGTGGGCACCAAGCCTTGCGGGTTGAGCCAAAGAAAGTCCGCAGCCTTGCAGAAAATCCAGTTTCGTCCGGTCGCCAGAGACGGAGGTACGGGAGGTTCCAGACAAGGCAATCGCCATGGAGACGATGGCCAATTGAAAGCGAGAAGGTGGGGTTTCTTTCAGAGGCACTTGCGTAACACTGCTTGGACGAATGCAAGTTACATCGCTTCTCATTGGAGCATGTCTAGGCGCCAAGGTTCATCAAACCTTTTCAGCCTCTTCTGCACCTCAGGGGCTCAGTCACTGCGTCATCATCCGTCACAGCAACTGCGCAACCAACATACGAGTACAGCATGTTCAAGATTACTACGAGGTACTCGGTACATGGACGTGTCTGCATGGTGCCAATATAGGACACACTCTGGGCTGTAACATGCCCGTCAAAACTGATATGGTTGCGCTGCCAGACCGTGGCTTCCTTTTATTCTATTCACATCAACCAGAGGGATCAATGTGACGAGATTCACACGCCTCTCGCCAGCATGTCTCGTTGAGGCATTTCCTCAGGAGGCACCAGAGGTACTCGGTACACAGTAATTTACTCAAGGCCACCTCTTTCGGCATTATGTTTCTCCAGGTCGAGCGGCTTATGTGTCCTATTATGCTTACCTTGGGGTTCTAGACTAGCGAATTAACCATTGCTTCAAACCGCCCTTGGACATATCTGTTCTGGCACATTCTCTGGGTGATTGCGAGCCGGAAAGCAATTTTCGAAAAGCCCGAGGCCCAAGGGGGCCTCGGAAGAGTATCGCCGGCCAACCGGATGGAAACGGACAACACCTCCTCCCCGCAGTGCTAACAAGTTGCCATTTTGTGAGGAAGGTCAAGTCGACTTCCCGATGTGAACGAAGCCGTCCTGTTACGACTACCGAGAATGCTGCTCTCGCTTGCGAGGACCCATAACAGAGGTGTCTCGGAGTCCGGGTTACCTCGTTAACGCAGATACAGCCACGGCCATGGAAACAGAGTTAAACTACTATTATCAAGCTCTGAAAGTCTACTATACCCGTCCTCCCGTGTATCGAATCTTGATTATTGAACCATATCCAGCCTGGCACAACGAGAACGGAAGTTTGCACCGGCTCCGGATAGTGGAAGAGTGTCTTGACACCGCGTGTAGGCACCTGCCTGGCCAAAGCCTCAGATCAAAGGATGGCGTTTGGGGTAGGAGGAGTGTTGAAGGGGTAATAGGAGTCTCGATTGCCATGGAATTACTGTAATTTCTTAGTCAAGACAGTTGGCATCGACCTTGTTGTATGTGGTTCCCATACAAATCGGAGAGATCAACCTCATGCGGTGGGATACGCGCCACTCGGCGAAACTGCGGATCGTTGCCATTGGACGACAACCTGAAACAAATCAAAAGAGCCAGGCTGAGGAGAACTGGCTTGTGTCCAAAAGCGACTGTTATCGTCCACAGCAATTACCCTGTCATTTCGGTCAGTGTGTCTTTCTCGTGCTGCCTGCTGGGTACTTGATACATGTATGCCATTCTGCAACGCAAAGATGAGTCCGTGATTGTGAGCTTCACGCGCGGAAGGCGACTTAATAATCCTACTCCCCCTAGACATTTCGGTACTGCAAGTGGCTATCTCCAACGGGAACTAAACCCAAACTGCAGAAACGTCAGCACTAATTCAATTGGTCCAAGGGGGCGAAACAAGCGAGAACAAGAGCAACAAGACTCAAGCGGTGCTTCCAGAAGTCGCTCGCTGAAAAGCTTCTTGACGCAATCAACAAATAGCCGAAGTACTGGCTCGACTGTGGCGGCAAAGGCGTGGAAATTCGGTCGAGGATGTCGGCCGCCAGTGCCGAAGTTGTGTGATTCCTTTTATGTCGTTCAGCCCTCGCTCATTTGCCTTACGCACACATTTTACGGCCTACGCTATCTGTTTTGCTGCAAGGATAGACGGGAAAGAATCCTTCGACTGCTCAGAGTTGTTTTTCCCCCTCCGCTGCGTTGCGGAAAGAGTTGAGACAAACCACAGCTCCATCAAACAGCACATCGACAACGCACGAAAGTCCTCTCGGTCTTACTGAAGTCGGATCCTACAGCGGCGGCTAATCTTAATTTTGCACTCATCCTACCGCCATGGCGTTGGCCTGAATCACAATCCATCACCTCCGCTTCGATACTGATGAACTAATCAGCCCTACCCAGCCTGATGGGAGCTCGCGAGTTCATTGGCCATGACAGTCGGAACCTCAGTCGAGATGTCCTTCAAGAAGAAGGGAATGGCGAAGGAGAGCGATCCAACACATCTCGCAGGCTCGTGACGAAGGCTAAGCTCATCATCACCCCGCTGGATTCCCACCGACGCGAGGCTTTTGCGTCGTATCCATCCGGGACAAGCCCTCTCCCAACGGAAAGTATTGACGAATGTAAGATCACAAACGTCTCCAAGGTCTCCGAGCAAGGATCCGGCTAACATTAGCAGACATTTCCATACTTCGGAAGGAAGAGCTGTGTCTGAAAATCACTCCCGATGTCGACCATCCAGTGATATCAGTCCTTTTTCCGTTGTCGATGCAAGACCCAGGTCTCTTCAAATGTCTGCTTTTCGGAGCCCAGAGTCTCCATGACTGGCGCCGTGATCCCTTTCATGTCAATCGCTCCCGGGACATGCTCAAATTGCAGAACGAAGCCATCCTTTCTCTGCGAGAACGCCTTTCGGCACCGTCCGCGCACCTTGACGATGGTGTCTTGATATCAATTACTCATTTGATGATTGCCGATGTACGTCAATCCACCACATGGGGTCGTCGCGTCTAACCTGTCTCCAGTCCAGTCGTAGGGATCTGGCGTCACTGAAATCTCATCTCAAAGGGGCCAGGCAAATTATCTCGCTACGTGGTGGCCTTGGAGATACGCCTGCTCACCTCGCGATTCGGGCCCTCTTGACGACGTATGTCTCGGGAAATCGTCCACGTCGAACTCTATTAACATCGGGTGTAGGATGGAGTTTTACATTGCCCTCGGCCAATACCTTCAGATCAGTCCTGATGACCCAACCGCCATTCCCAAAAGCCACATCGAATACATCCGACATCCGTTCCCTCCCGACATATGCCGCGAAGTCGCTGCGCTTCCCGTGGGTCTTGCTGAAGCTGCTCTCTCCGGCCATCTGAGTGTTCAATGCATCAAGCTCCTTGCTTCAGTTGCATCATGGGCACCCTTAGTTGACGGCCTCACTACTTCTTCCTCGTCGTCATCGTCAGCTGCCTCTCCTTCTGACCAATCACAAGATCTGAAAACCAGGTATTGCAGGCTCTTCTGCGAACCAAGAGAATGTTCTCGAAGCGCCATCATTATATTACTTGATCTAAAAAGATCTAGATTACCCGTTGGCTTGGAACATGTCATTTGCTTAGGCTTGGCCATCGCCGTTCGCCATCTGAGTGGAGAGAATCGCACCAACATCTTCGACACTGCCTCACTCGCCGCATTGACCAAGAGTGTCAAAGCTATCGAGAGCCCCTCGGTGTCAGACTCCGAAGTCATCATCTGGCTTTCCCTGCTCATCAGTTGGCGTACACAATCTGCGAAGCCTGTACCAAAGGCAGACGCTCTCTTGGATTACGTGTTGGACTCATTTCCCGTCTCGCGTTCCTGGAAGAAAGTGTCGGCAATCTGTCGCAAATTTTGGTGGTTCGACTGCTTTCATGCGGAATGGGAAAAGTGTTGGTCTCGCGGCATGGCAAGACAGCAGCAGCGGTTATCAATGGAACAATCTTCTACCACGAGCTCCAGACGACGATCCTCGGTGGGCCAATCAGATGGCATCGCTGCTCTTCAAAGTTATACTCTGCATATCGAGTCTGGGTGATAACTAGCGTGGCAGCCTTTCCTCGTCTGAGGAAACCGCTGGACAGACATTTAACCGGCCCTGGATTACGCCACAGGCATAACCAGCAAGCGCCCAACTTTCGGACCCATGTTGGGAGCATGATGCGATCATGAGACCCGTTCTCGGAGCAGATTGTGTCCACTGACTCTTTAGTCCCGAGGGACGTCTGCTATACGATGGGAAGTTCGGGGGTGATTCATTCGTGAAACCCCAGCTGAACAAACTCACCGAGCCAATGTTCCCCTAATGCTCTCGCATTGGAAGAGCGACAACTCAACTACCTTCCTTATGAGGACGCAGAGTTGGTAGCGATAGACTAAGGCTTCTGGACAACCATCTGCTTGTACCGTAAGACGTACATGGGCATATGTTGGCAAAGCCGTGAGACGAAAGGGCGACTTGTAACAGCAGGATTTACCGATTTACCAAATTCTTCTCGCGAGCGCATTTGGATTGCGCATGCGAGGCACCCCTCGAAATCGAGCTTGTCCTGCGTGATCAGCACAGTCTCCGTCTTTGTTCCCCCTCAGTCACGACGGGATCATTAAGGACGCCATCTCCACCTTACACCAGGCAGTACTGAGTTACTGTGCATTTGGGATTGATATGATGTAGATTCTTGACACACCAGGCTCCAAGGACTTGGAATGGCTCACATTCTCTCGGCCCCAGTATTTTCGCATCGAGGTAAGGAGGGCAAACAAGGACTTTCACATTTGGTGCCAACACTGCCATTTCTGTTTCGCTTCTATTCCACCTGGCAGTGGTGGTTTTTGGGCGTGGAAAGGATGGATCACAGATTAGCCTTGTATAATATCGAACTTGTTCTCGAAGGCGTTCGATTGTGGTCGTTGAGACGTTCGAGCGGATGATGTATTATATCCGATTCGACTGTCCTGTGACGAAGTTCAAGGTACGGGGCGTCACTCGTTTGTGTGGTATCCTCGTGGAGCGGGCCTGCGGGCCGGGGATGTTCAATAAAAATGCGATCCACATCATGCCTAAGGCATTGGTCACTGTACCAAAACACCTCGCACAGAGAAACCATTCTCCGTTAGCACGTTGTTTGAACGGAGTGCATGTTCAGGGGAAGTGGAAGCACCAGCAGATATTGCTCTTTGCATCAGCGGGAGTACGTGGTCCGTATCACCAATCAGACGAATAAAGCGATAGTTGGCGCCCAAGGACGTGGGGCGAGTATTCGATAGACACCATCTAGAGCGCTTGGTTGGGCGGTTACACGCCTTGGATCTCCATTGAAGGTGTCGCACAAAATAGCAACTGGGCCAGCAGGTCTTCTAGTCTGGCTGGACATTTGACGGGAGGAGCAGCATAGAGAAGGCTTTTGCCTTTATGTACGCTTGCTGTCGCGTTGTTCAGGTAGACAACTGAGGAGGAAGAGGAAGAGGGCGCAAGAGAAATAGGGCGTCGAGTCAAGGCGCCAACGAGTTTCCCCTCCTTACCTTGCACTGAGAGGTACTTGTATTGACTCCTGCAACTCACGCGCACAACCCATCTTCTTCCTCTTTGGAATCTTCCTGTCAGCTCTCAGTTTTGCAGCGCTTGTTTCGTCCTTTGCTCAGGCCATCTTTCAGGTCTTGCTCGGCATCAGCATTTCCCTTCTTCCGTTGTTTCTAAATCCGTGGCCTGGACCCGACCGCAGTTGAACCACATCATCATCATCATCGCTCATCCTTCTCACAGGGCAGGCCCCACTCCCAGATCACATTGCGAGTTCTCTACCACCTACGAAACTCAACAGCAGTATAATCTACGTTCTGCTCGAGAGCCGCAAGCGCTTCTGGAGCCATGAGTGTCTCGGGCCAGCATGGAAGACCGGACGGCGAGATGTTCCTCAACCGTCCCAATGACCGCGACTCCCCCACCATCGTCGAGCCGTTGCGCATTAATAAAAGAACCTCCAGCGCCTCCTCAGGCGTGCCCTCTATTGCTGGCAAGCAGAGTCCCGTCCCCCAGCAGCCTGCTCAGCCTGCCACTGTCTACCCGATGCCATCCCTCCCCTACCCGGACGAGCAGGCTCGCCTGCAAGCACAAGCCACCCGGTCCAATGGGTCTCCTGCCCCTTATCCTTATCCGGATGTGAGAAGAGTGACTTCTCCTGAACAGAGCGGAACTGTAGGCAATGGGGCAAGGCAGCAGGCAAAGAGGACGACATCAGGAGATGGGCGTATCCCACAAACACTGGCAGAACGTCGGGGGACGGCGCCAAAGCCTCTGCCAGAATCCCCTGGCCCGGATGCGCCAGATAAAGAAGGACTATTCCAGCGCCCTCCTCAGCGAAGGGATCCGCCGAGTACGGCGCCTCTCCCAAGTCAACATGAATCTCGCCAGCAGTATTGGCCGCCACCCCCCGAAGGTGCGGCCGCTGCAGCAGACGCTTTGAGCAGGTTGAAGATCAGGGACCCTTCCTCGATCAACCGAATAAGTTCGACGGCATCCACATCCACCACCAGGGCTCAGCGCGGGTCTCCTCCACCGCCAGAAACGCCAATCGTTGGCCCGGGGGCCCGTCCACAGACCGACATCGAAGCCCGCTACGCAGCGTCTGGCATTGCAGGTACCGCAACACTGAATAGTTTGCAGGCCCAGAGCCTTGCGGCTCAGCAAAGAGCCTCTCAGTACAACGTGCAACCTCAACCCGCCCAGACACAGACCAACGCTCCCCCACGGCGGCCTTGGACGCCGACCGAAGCCCCGGGGAGCTCGCAACACCCTGCTCCGACAGTGTATCAAGGCATGGAAGAAGCTCGCCCATCACCCCCAACTGCAGCCGCCGCATCGACGGCGCGCTCAGGGGCTCTTCAATCTCCAACTCGAGCCCAGCACCCTGTCGAAACTGAGATATCCAGGCTGCAGCCTCATGAAGAGCCTCCTCCGGCATACTCTCAGATTCCTGGTGGGAGGAACGTCTCAGGGAACGAGAAACAAAGGAGAAGTATGGTCGGGGCCGCTGTGGCGCCAGCGGCGACAGCAGGAAGCGCACCCACAGCAGCTCCACAACCAACCAGCTTCATGCCAGGAACACAGGTCCCCAACCAGATGGACCACCCAGCATTTGCGAACGACCCTAGGCAAGCAGTCCAAAGCCCACAGGCTCATGCGACCATGAACGGACAGATGCCACAAGCACAGCCCATCGTGCCTCAGACACCCTCACAAATTCCTCCCGCTTCTCCGCCACCGCTTCCCGAGGGTTGGATAGCTCATTTGGACCCAAACTCGGGGCAATATTACTATATCCACTTACCTACACAGTCGACGCAGTGGGAGTTTCCCAAAGGTCCGACGCCGCTCAACCTCAATGATACACCTTTATCTCCGGTCGCCAGTGTCTACCAGAACCCTCTCGCTTCACCTGGCTTATCTTTCACTTCCAAACCACTCGCGTCTCCGGGCATTCCCATGACTCCTGGATATGAGCAGCAAAGTGTGATGGGCTTGCCTGGACCAGCAGCCTTCACTGGACCGCCTCCGAGCGCTGGTGTGGATCTGTACAAGGTGGTGGCAACGAATGGCGTCTACTTTGGTCCTTATCTTCGCTACGCCAATATGGATATAGAGCGTGGCATCTGGTATGGATCGATACTGCTGGTCACGGATGCACCCCAACCACCAACAATACACATTCATCAAAGTGTTGATTTGTCGCCAAATCCGCGCCAGTTGAAAGCCAGCTGTATTTCAACTCATCAGCGCTGGACATTTTACAAGTACGAGGTTGACTTGCACATGGAAGAGTCTGGAGCTGCCAAGTGGACGTATGCCATTACTTCTCATCTGGGTTGTACGAGATATGAGTTTCTGGTGGCTGGCAAACATGAGACCAATTGGCGTTTTGTATGCACCTCTGCGAACGACTTTTCCCTCAACGTGAGCGCCAACGAGCGCGCTAGACTGGGCGGGGTGGGATTCATGTGGAAAGACATCATGCAGAAACATGCCGAATGCGGCGGGTTCCACTGCCAGCTCGGCTTGGGCAGTCAGATCAATGCCGACAGGCTGTGGAAGGAGATACCATCGCTGAAACAGTGGCTGTCAACGAGCGGGAAAGAAAACCGCAAGAATGCAGTCTGGACAGCAGCGCACGAAGAGGACGTGACGCATGCATATTTTCATTATTACACGAGTCATTTTGATCAGCCATATTTGCGAGAGGCTTTTGCCCAGATACCCCATATCTTGACGATTGATGATCACGACATGTGAGTTGATATCACTGTTAGGTTGAGAAACAGGCTGACGAGAACAGATTTGACGGTTTTGGTTCTTACCCAGAATACATGCAATTTAGCAACATGTTCAAGAACATTGGAAGGATTGGTATAGAGATGTATCTGCTATTCCAGCATCACACCACACTCGAACTCCTTCGGAATGTGTCAGACGACAGAGATCTGTTTACCATTACGGGGACGGGGTGGCACTTCGTCAAATTCCTCGGGCCAGCGGTCGCCGTTGTCGGTCCAGACACTCGAAGTGAACGGACACTCCATCAAGTCATGGCAGGCCCTACCTACCAAGGTCTATTTCCCAAGATTGCTCTGCTCCCACCTACAATCCAGCACTGCCTCCTGATGATACCGGTCCCCTTGATCTATCCGAGGCTAGATGCTGCGGAATCGATAGCGCAGACCGTGGCAACCGGGAAGAAAGCGGTGACGGGGGCCTATAACGTGCTCGGCAAAGTGACGAGCTCCGTTGCAGGCGTGGTCGGAGCGAAAGGAGCAGTTGGATCGGGATTTGACTCGGTCAAACGTGCCGTCGGGAAATCTGGGCTCATGGGAGGTATTCTGAGTCCGTTTGGAGACATTGACGTTCTCGACGAGCTGAAGGACCAGTGGACCCACGATTCCAAGGTGAGTGTCACAGTCCCAGCACCGTGCTTTGCTAATGTGATCAGGATCTGGAGCGGACGTACTTCATTCGGACCCTGCAGGGGATCTCGCATCAACGATCGATCCGCATGACATTTGTATCCGGAGCAGTCAATACATGTGGAGCGGGTCTTGTCCACGATCCATCTCACCCATCAGACCACAAGACCATGTACCAGATTATTTCGTCGCCGGTGGTGAATACTCCGCCTCACAGCTATGTTATGAAACTGCTCAACAACAACAAGCCACTCTACATCCCTGCGAATGGACAGCGATCCACCCCATCACAACCGACCGACACGAAAGAAGACATGATGGAGATCTTTACGCACGACGTGACGGGGCAACCCATCAACAACCGGAAATTGATGGCACGGCGCAACTATGTGGCGGTTGTGGTCTATGATCCCGAAGTGGTCAATGGCACATTTGGGCAGACGGACATGCACCGAGGATCGGGCAAGTTGAGCCTGGCGGCCGACTTTTTGGTGCAGGGAGAGGGCGCATATGGAAGCGTGGTCAAATACGGACCTGTGGTTGTGCCGAGCCTGGAGTATGGGCGTTGACGTTTTGTACTCGGTAGATGGAAGTAATTTTGCAAGGCATTGCTGTAACGAAGAGATGGACCATGAGCAAAGTGAGCAAAGCTATACGGAGCGTGCAGCCAACACAGACAGTGCTATGTATGTTTTTCAGCGTGTGTTTGAGCGCATGTTATGATATTGGACGTTGGTTTGTGATTTGTGAGAATGCTATTGTCGCGATCAATATTTTCAGCGATACATATATATCATGTCGACGTGTCTGGATATGTGGATTCATATGAAATATGAAATATGAGCATTCCTACCTATTTTGAGTCTGGGATTTGGGATTGAGGGGGAGGTATATGTAAAGTACACGTACAGAGTACAATTTTAGGGTACAAGTATATATACTATATACTATCATAGTATATAGTCTATGACATATAAATATACAGCAGCACCAGCAGCACCCGCAACCACTATTCTTTTCTTCCACCCACCCCCCCCCCCCCCCCCCCCTCCTCCCCGTCTCACTCCGATTCGGAGATGAAAAGGTCCTCCCTCCTAACTCGCCATTCGGCCTCATCCTCGGCCGGATACCATCTTGATTGGGCATGGCTGACAAATCGCAATTTTTGGAGAATAATGACAACTATGGCGGGATGGCAGGATGGCGGGGAGGAGGAGGGGGGGGGACTTGAATTTGTTGATGTATGTATGTACGAGATACTTGTTCGGCACTAGGTAGATGTTGTCATTCTGTCGAGTTATTGTACTATTATTACCTCCCAGTACAAGTAGGTATTTATTTCTTGATCCGTCTTTATCTGTTTCTATTTTATCGGTGATGAAATATTAAACAGATTGTTTCTTTCCTGTCTTCCCACCCACACCCTAGGTACTTGCAACATATATATATCTCTCTCTCTTCTTGTACGATCCGATCCGACAAGTTCCTTTTCTTTGACCATGGCCACCACCAACGGCGCCACGCCAGACATCATCCTCTACACCAACCACGGGTGTCCCTGGGCGCATCGGGCTCATGTGGCGTTGAAGGAGCTCGGACTCCCCTACAAGGAGGAGATTATTGATCTGGACAGGCCGCGGGATCCGTGGTATTTGAAGGTGAACCCGGTATGTTTTTTTGCCCTCGACTCCGAAGCCTGCCTCCGTCTCCGGGAGAGATTATCTCAGCCGTGTCTCTCCGTGTATGTGTATGTGTGTATGGTGTGGACTGATCGGTCGATCAACATCAACAACAGCGTGGCCTTGTCCCCAGCATCAACTACAACGGACACATCATCACGGAATCGGCCGTGGTCGCGCAGTTCCTGGCCGACGCTCATCCGTCCCACCTGCTGCCGCGCACCGCGTCCGTCGACGACGCCCTGTACCGCGCCCGCGTGGCCTTCTTCGTCGACACCTTCGTCTCCAAGGCTCTGCCGCTAATCTTTGGCGGCTGGCGCGCGCAGACCGACGAGGAGAAGGACACCGCCGCGCAGGACCTCGTCGCCGTTCTCGTCAAGGAGGTCGAACCCCTCTTCGACTGGGCCGGGCAGGGAAAGGGCCCTTATTTCGGCGGCAGTGACAAGTTGACGCTCGCCGAGGTCGACACCGCGCCGTTCCTGCTTCGTCTCCTAGGCTTCACCAAACCCGAGTACGGCATCCTGAGCCCGAAACTCGACGCCCTGCTCGACGAGAAGACGCCCAAGTTTAAGGCCTGGGCTGCCAAGGTGGTGCAGGAGCCGAGCGTCACGTACATTTGGAACGAGAAGGCCGTTGCCGAGCGGACCAAGGCTCGGTTCGCGAAGCTGGCCGCCGAGAAGAAGCTCTAGATGTAGTAGGACAGTCGTAGTCAAGAAACAGCCTTACTTAGCACTACTTGCCGTTTCATTTTCTGTTTGAGTCCAGAAGAGGAGAGAAGGAGAGAAGGAAAGAAGAAAATAAAATTTCCATCTCAAGACAGCAAACTCTTTCGCCGAAACTTGTCTAACTTTCTTCGGACAGTCTTGGACAAAGGACCTGTCTGTCGTTCTCCTTTCTGTGAGTTTCATGTGTCGGATGTTCTGATCGAATGCAGTCTCGCGATCGTTGTCTGTCATAGCGCTTGTGACGTGCTTCATCAAATTGAATCACATGCACTCAACCCACCTGAACAGGCGATACGGATCCAGAAGTTTTGTAGTTTGGTTGTTTCGGAGGAAAAGCACCTTGGCGACCGCATTGAGCATGAGTTTCGTTATGATGCACACTGACACCTTGGTGCCAGGTCAAGTAGGAAGCGATATCCAGAATCATCTGAGCGTGTCGCTGCTGAGAGTTGTTCTATTCTGTCAAGAATCGAATGCACTTTGACAGAAATCCATTCGCTGGTTGTCTTGCCAGATGTGTCCCTTTCAATGTAACCGGACTTTGCTTGCGGCACGCAGAACGCGTAACGCATTTGATGGAACGTAAAGTAGGTGGGTCGCAGAACCATGATAGGAAGTGACCTATCGTCTGTACTGAATCAGTGATGTTGTTTGTCGAGGGTGTTTGGCTCTGGAATAGGAAGTGGTCGAGGCCAATCTGGAGACAGTGTCGGGCAATTGAAGACTTGCTGTATTCGGGCTAGTAAAGTCGCAGTAGCCACAAGAACCTAGGGCCGTCATGGGGACAAACTGATTCAGCGGGACCTTTAGCAGCGCAGAGGTTTTTGACTCTTCTAGGGAGTGGGTTAAAACAACACTGAACGCTCAAGCCTCATGCAGAGCAACGAGCGAGGTATTATTTGGTTGAGAACTATGTAAGTAAAACAACATACCCGGTATATTCCACACCCACCTAGGCATTTCGCTAGGCAGTCCTATTCGGTACGTGCGTTACAGCCGACGGTGGTCAAGGTTCAACCGAGCTGTCGAATCAGGCAACCAAAAAGAGCGTCCACGATAGATTCAGCCTAAACGAGTAGTCTAGACGAGCCGTCAATGCTGATATGCCAAGTCAGGGATCTTCATTGCGCCTTATCTGGACAGGCTCCTCCTTTTAGGGCCTAATGATGCAGCGTGACTGTAAGGGTGACCTCTCTAACGGGCAAACCTGTTCGCGTTGATTTGGAATTGACGTTCGTGGCGTGCTTGACGGGATGAGACTTGAAAAACAGGATATAAAAGCGGGATGCAGCATTGGTGGTGGATTACCCAAACTCCCATGCTCCTCACATCGAGAGTCTCATTCTGAAAGCTCGACCACCACGATCCACTGAACAATTGTCAACACCCACACGTGGTTCGACGATGCCATATCTTACCACCAACGACGGCACCGAAATCTATTACAAGGACTGGGGCCACAAGGATGCTTCCGGCACTGTTGTCTTTTCCCATGGCTGGCCGCTGAACAGTGATAATTGGGAGAGCCAAATGTTCTTTCTAGCCAGCAAGGGATACCGGGTCATCGCTCATGACCGCAGGGGTCACGGCCGTTCAAGCCAACCCTGGACAGGCAACGACATGGACACCTACGCAGACGACTTGCTGCAGTTGTTCGAACACCTCGACTTGAAGGATGTGATGATGGTCGGACACTCAACAGGCGGTGGTGAAGTTGCCAGGTTTCTAGGCCGTCACGGTTCCAGTCGCGTCAAGAAGGCGGTCCTGGTCAGCGCGGTGACGCCGCTCATGCTCAAGACCGAAGCCAATCCCAAGGGCACGCCGATCGAGGTCTTCGACTCCTTCCGAGCCGCCATGATCAAGGACCGCTCACAATTCTTCATCGACGTCCCCTCTGGTCCGTTCTTTGGCTTCAACCGTCCCGGCGCCAAGGTCTCCCAGGGTCTCATTCAGTCTTGGTGGCAACAGGGGATGATGTGCGGGTTCGTCAACTCGTACGAGTGCGTCAAGGTCTTCTCGGAGACAGACATGACTGAGGACTTGAAGAAGATTGAAATCCCCGTGTTGATACTGCACGGTGACGATGACCAGGTCGTGCCGATCGAAGCGAGCGCCCACGAGGCTATCAAGCTGTTGAAGAACGGCAAGCTGGTGGAGATCAAGGGGGCACCTCATGCGTTGCCGAACATTAATCCGGATGAGGTGAACACCGAACTGCTGAAGTTTTTAGAGGAATGAGTCGCAAAGGGAGAGCTTGCTGTCGCCAGAATATGAATACCGTTGTGGACACGACTTGGATGAGACGTTGATACCTGCTAGATACATGATATTGAATTAATATTGAATGAGATGCGCCCTCGAACTTGAATCAGCGATGTACTAGGGCGGCGGAGATCATGTCCGAATACGGATGTTCGCGGCCCAAATCTCATGCTGTTTTTGAAGGAACTTTGTTCACTTTTCTCGACTTGCATCGTATTGATTGTCCAGTTTTACACATACATAGTGCATCGAACCAAGGACCAGGATGCGTCATTCAGGTCTTCAGCGCGAAGTCCTCAAGCTGTACCGAGCTTGTCTGCGTGCTGCAGGCAAGAAGCCAGAGGTTGGTGTCCCCGATTCTTCTCCTCGCCACATTTGTCACTCCGTCATATCTTACTCTACCTTGGTTCAATAGGCGACAAGAGAGCACTTCCGGACCGCAGCAAGGTGAGTCTTGCCACCACGAGCTGTTGTACAAGGCGGCTGCTATAGGATATTGACTGATCAAATCACTTTAGACGCGAATTCCGCAAAAACCAGACTGTGGACAAAAAGGACTTTGGAGCTGTTGAAACACTGATCAGAATGGGAGCCCGCAAGCTCGAACTCTACTCTTCGCCTGGTGTTACAGACATCCATTGAGCCTGGCGATAACCCCGTTCCATTTCGATGAAACCGACTTCCCATCATGGCCTTTGTCCCCTTTGTCCTCATCGTGGTGATGCTCGGTGGGATCACGTGACACGGAAGCTTCTGGCTGTATACCGAAACATCTGGCGCCTAGTGGCAAAATCGAGCACCAGGCAGAGGGTGTTTGCGTTTCCCAGAAGCATCCAGCAAAACGGTGGCACGGTCGACATAATCTGCTTTCTCATCCATCTCGACTGGCCCAGCACCTTCTATCAGGCAAGATGAAAGTCTATAAAATCTTCGTCAAAGAAGGGCTCTCTGCATTTCGACATCCATCAAGATCAAGTCTTATGCATTCAACTCGAACGAGAATCGTCCCTCAAGCTTCAAGAATAATTAAGCCAACGCTTTCCACTAGAAACATGTCTTTCCTCTTCCCAAGACTCGCCTTTGCGCCCGCACGCTGCGGTCCATCCCGCCGTGACATTGCGCCGCTCTTCTCTCTTTTCGACGACTCTTTCAATGAGATCCAAAGAGCCAACCGGTCAACCAGGAAACAATGGAACCCTAGCTTCGATGTCAAGGAATCAAACGACACTTACGTCCTGGAGGGTGAACTCCCCGGTGTCGAGCAGAAGGATCTGAGCATCGAATTCGTCGATGAACACACCTTGACCATCAAGGGCCGAACCGAGCGCACCACAGAATCTGGTACTCGCCCTTCAGCTCTCCAAGGCGACAACAAATCTGCGATCGGGGAATCCCCTGCATCCGAGACTGGTAGCGTCAAGTCGCATCAACCCACTGTCGAAGATGAGGAGCCCGCCAACTCATCCGCGGTCGCTGCCGTTGACAGCAAGACAGAAGTGGCTGCACCGACACCTGCTCAGCAGGAGCAACAGCTAACCAAAGTTGAGCAACAGCCTGCACAACAACACTACTGGATCACTGAACGCAGTGTGGGAGAGTTCTCCCGCAGCTTCTGGTTCCCACACCGTGTGAATCAGGAGGCGGTCAAGGCTTCATTGAAGAACGGCCTCCTGAGCATTGTGGTTCCCAAGGCCGCACCTGAAAGCAGACGCATTGCAGTCGAGTAAGGCCGCCAAAGAACCTGCAGACAGGACTATCTGTACGACACCAGCGTGAAGGCTGCATAGCGTGGCGTTACAAGCAGGATATCGGATTCGGATAAGGTTCATGAGCTGGTTATCTACGGGACATGGCAAGGGGAATGACTGGAATGTATGAATAGAGGATCTCGGCTCCCTTGCAGCTCTAGAGCTCTAGAAATATAATTCACTTGATTATTCTCACACATGACTGGTTGTTTCCCACTGCTTTTTCTGTAATTTCCCCCTCATCTGACAATGCGTAGTGGCACCCTGACCAAAAGGTAAAAGGAAACTCAAAGTCTGACTATTTGCACATGTCGATCGGGCTTATGACGAGGCACATGTTTTCCGAAGTCAAAACTTCGCCATTCGATGCATCCGGATCCTTATGGGTTCCCCGCTCTAGTGCAGAAGGGAGGCTGGGAGACTACGGAGTGACGAGTCGGTACAATTCATCTGCAGCTCCAATGAGTATTGACTGTCAGACGCAGGTGTTTCAGACACCGATGGTCTCGGGGCGATCGTATTCGCTGGTTACCAAGGTGCCCAATGCATTCTTTTGTCGCGTAGTGGATTTGCAGCATGTGATCGAGGTCCGTTCCCCCAATCGTCACCAGTACGTACATCGCTTCGTTTGCGTGCGTGTAGGTATCCAACAGCATCTTCTCTCAAGTGTGGACCACGGACGCACATACACTTTCAGCTCGGTGAAAGTTCCACGGCGGACAATCAGCCATCAGACAGGCCACCATCGTTACCTGCGGTTGTGGCAAAAAAGGGTGTGCAGGTTTCTTCGTGCGGATGTTGAGCGGAAGTTCTGGACCGTCAACTTTGAGATAGGGCATGGAGTATACCGATCGACGTGAGGATCGAGGACAAAGGTTAGGTAGCCAGAGTTACACAAATGGATCTCAAGATTTGGGGCTTAGCCTTAGTGGCTGATTCGATTGCGTCAAGCGTGTTCTCCAGTGCCTGGGCCCTTGACCCTAGTCTCTCTTCTGGGGGTTCATCAAGGGGTACCACGGGAGGAAGAAAGAGAGGGGAAGGTTAGCTGTGGCGTTCCCAGGGACGGTGGTCCGATGGGTGGGTAGTAGAAGAGTTTAGCGGTGGCTGATGCTTGGAATTAAGCGTCTAAAAATCCGGTTGAGGGCAAGAGTCGGGGCCCTGGGCTTCGGTTCTGCTTGTTGTGTTTGGCCACTGCTGCGTCTCCGGGCGACCTGAAATTTGTTTACATGGGGTGGTTTCAGCCAATCAACCCCTCGCCCCTGCACCACCACCTCGTCTTGCACATGAGAGGATTAGCCCTGCATTGAAAGCTTCTGAGCTTCCAAGGTCTACGTACATACGGCTTGGTCCATGCGTCCTCGTCGCCATTTCCCCATGAAATATGAAACGGATCAAAAGTCGTCACTGCGCTGCTCCACCGCCACAGTCGTCTCCCATCCTGCTCCTCCTCACCCACATTCTTCGTTTACCCTGCAATACAGAGTACATCACTCGACTGATCGACCCGGTGTTGCCCTGGCTGGATCTGTTTTGGCTATTGCTTCTTAATCTGTTTCACCAAGCCGCTCGTTTGGGTTTTTACCTACGATCTAGGTACACCATTTGTCTGTCGTTCCAGAGCCTCCATCTTCCTAGTCTTCGGCCACTCACTCACTACAACGAACGGGCCACTATCACCACCGGAGCACGGACTCTATTTGCCTTACCCGACAGACGCAAGGTCTGCTAACCTGGCCGATATTCCCTATCCCGAGTCAGCTACATTTTGACCATCATACCTTTCCATCGTCCTGCATTCGCAGCCACCAGATGGCAGATGGTTGAAAAATGACCGCGATATTATAACCTCGCTCATTGAGAGTAAGGTTGAGGAAACATTACCTTTGCATGCGTGAGCATTTATCCGGAAGGTACTCGGATGAACAGGGGCATATGCTGCACCACTCGCCATGTGGTTTGCAAAGAGAAGGTCGAGTCTCGCAGCCGAGTCCGCACATACAGAATCTGAGCCTCGTCGGAGAAATCGCTTGTCTAAGCCCCCTACAAGCAGAATACCCTCCGGTGTGTCGACGTCCAGTCTCAAAGCCCAGGCGTCGCTTCCACAGAGCAAAAATACCAGCCGCACAGAGCTGTCGCTTCCGTCATCCCCCGCTTCAGGCAAAGGTATGCAGCAGCACAAATCGCGGGACAGCGTTATTGCGACAGACTCGGGCTCACCTCTCCGCACGCACAAGAATGATTCGGGCTTCAGGGTCGCCTATATGGTCAGTCAGTTGGAGGGCAAGGCTGCTGGAGCTGGGACAAGTCCATCGCGAACCATGCAACAACGAACGCCACCCCCTCAGTCACCTATCAAGCCGCCGAAGCGGAAGTCTCTGTTGCTCCGGCGTCTGTCGCTGCAAAGGTCCTCCAGCATAACCCGTACCCCTAGCAGTGAACGCATCAATCCCTTGGAGTGTGATACCGCGGTGTTTTCAACCCCGGATTCAGCGATGGACAGAATCCTCGAACCACAGCCAATTCCCCCCATGCGTCGATCATCCTTTGCCCCTGGCACAGCAACAAGAAAGCCATCTCAAATTGCTGAGAGGCAGGAGAGCCAGGGCCGTGATCCCATTTCAGAGATAGAGGAGCGGCAGACAATCGCTTTTGATATCGACGACTTTGACTGGCAACCTCCACCTCCTCCAAGGACAACTGGCCGTGCCGGCACGCCTTCAGATATAAGCTATTCTCACCTCGCCGGCCTGAGGCACGGCTCTCTGCAAATCGTCAACGGACGAGCATCACCAGCTTTCAGTGAGGTATCAAAGGTGTCGAAACACCTTCTATCTGCCCCAGCACCACGGAGAGATGTGTCAAGCGATTACGGTGATGCCGACGAAGAGTTCAATCTATTGGTCTCTGCATCCAGCAATACATCCCACTTGGAGCCGAGTCCCCCGACGGGAAATGCTGAGTGTCGGTACTTTAGTTGGGAGCACAATGATGATAGAGCTGGGCCGCGGATTCACCCACTGCACAGTGTCATGACAGCACAAGGAGAAACGCACCTCATTTCGGCCAGCATTCCAGCTGATGATCATACCTCACTGATGGCAGAAGAATATATCGCAGAGCTTGGTGTCGGCCCATTTGACCAGCAAGAGTCCAGCTCTCCAGTTGGCACTATTAGAAGGACCAGGTCTGAAGGCTCACTTTGGCGGGCGAGCCGATGCTCGTCATTACAGAAAACGCCTCCGCTCAACAATGGCCCGGAGTTTCCATCCCCAGTCAGTACTCCAGAGAGGTCACCTTCGCCGTCTTGGTCGGTGGTGCGCAAGTCGAGCTTCAGATCCGAAGTAAGTCGGGGTCGACAAACTCTACGTGAGAATGAGGCAAGCGCCGAATCTCGAGCCTGTGATAGTCCTATGAGTTGGCATTCCCCCATCGAACCAAGATACTCTCTCGATGAAGGCTTTCAGTCTGCAGTCGAATTTCAACCTCAGCTGTCAAACCCTGCCCTCGCAATTCCGCCTTCTCGGGCACCTCAAAAATCGGACAGCGGCTACAGCTCAAGCAACTCGCTGCGGTCGTTTCAAATGGCCAGGCCTACCCCATCACCTACAAAGTTTAGGGCTTTACCAGAAGTTCCAGACTCACAGGTGAACGTCGATGTACAGGAGTCAGGACGTGTGCCATCTTTCTCTGGACATGTCTCTGGACATGGGATCTCCATTTTGAAGTCGCGCAGGAGCGAGCCTTATGTACCGACATTTTCTAATCTTCAACCCAATCCTGTAGCGCCAGTTCCGATGCCCATTGTCCCAACGACGACAGCCCCCGAATCCGATCCCCGCCCTACAAATGGTACAAAGGCACGGAAGAAACTCCTGAAGAAGAGGCGCCCATCAA